GCTACTGAGTACTTGAAATGTGACTAGTCTGAATTAAGATGTGCTGTAACTAAAATACACCCTGGATTTCAGAGACTTAATAAATAATGTAAACTATTCTTTCTCATTGATTACATGTTGAAATGATAATATTTTGGATATATTTGGGTTAAATAAATTACTAAAAGTAATTTAACCTGTGTCTTTACTTTTTAAATGTGACTATTAGAAAATGTGAAATTATATATGGCTTATAACTATTGGATGGCAGAGAATTGGAGAATAGGCAGTATTCCCTGAAGCTTCCTGCTAGAGGCGAGTGCTTTAAAGTGGTATGAAAAAGATTCTCAGTGCCAGCAGTCAGTCTTCCATCAAGCCAGGAACAGTTTTTCCATCTTCTCCTCAGATGGTACAGGGGTGGTATTTTGACTATTAGAACATCCCCATTCAACACTTTGGGTAACTAGATGGATGTCACTATCATTCACTCAGTAGAACAAAGCATTATTTTTCTAATGTAAGTCTGTCACTCATTAAAGGCAGTTATCCTTCCTATTTATCTAAAACTTGAGTCTTATTTTTAAGTCCTGTTCTTTCTGTCAGGGTTTTTGCTAAATTGCCAAAGCAATGGCATAACCAATGTGGCTATTCTTGCATGTAATCAGTAGAAACAAAGAAATGGGAGGCCGGGTGTGGTGGCTCACGCCTGTAATCCCAGCACTTTGGCAGGCCGAGGCAGGTGGATCACAAGGTTAGAGGTTCAAGACCAGCCTGGCCACTATGGTGAAAGCCTAGCTCTACTAAAAATACAAAAATTAGCTGGGCATGATGGCTCGTGCCTGTAATCCCAGCTACTTGGGAGGCTGCGGCAGGAGAATTGTTTGAACTGGGACCCGGGAGACGGAGGTTGCAGTGAGCCAAGATCCTGCCATAGCACTCCAGCCTGGGCAACAGAGCGAGACTACGTCTCAAAAAAAAAAAAAAAAAGGACCTATGTGGGATAGAAGAAATAATCAGGCAGGGTGCAGTGGCTCATGCCTGTAATCCCAGCAGTTTGGGAGGCTGAAGCAGGTGGATCACTTGAGGTCAAGAGTTTGAGACCAGCCTGGCCAACATGGTGAAACCTGTCTCTACTAATAATACAAAAGTTAGACGAGTATGGTGGCACACGCCTGTAATCCCAGCTATTTGGGAGGCTGAGGCAGGAGAAATGCTTCAACCGGGGAGGCAGAGGTTGCAGTGAGCCAAGACTGTGCCACTGCAGTCCAGCCTGGGCAACAGAGCAAGTCTCTGCCTTGAAAGAAAGAAAGAAAGAAATAGCATTTATCAAATCCAAGAATTTTAAGACAAAAGAGCTGACCAGTATATTTAAGTAATACATTATAAAATTACAGTTTGTCTTACTGCTCATGCAAACCTTATGTGAAATGATTGAGTCTATGATGAATTACAGTTTGGGCTCCGTTTGCTTTCCACAAAGCATCAGGCCTAGACCCTAGAGATAAACCATTTCATCATTTTATACTTTTTGAAACAAGTCATTTTCCCATTACGCTTTATAGTATTTTTTTGTGATATTAGAACTATTGAGTACAGTTATTTTTTGTAAATATTTTCAAACTTGTAAAAACTGTCAAGTATAGTTTTTTAATTTGGGGCAATATTTTTGAGTGGGGGGGGAGTTGATAAACATTTCTGAATGTCTTTGCATGCCAAAAGAAAGCTAACTTCTATAAACATATGCTTCTCACATAACCACTCAGGCAAGCATTGAGTGCATCAAAGTCAGTTCATACCAAAAGGAACACAATATATATATATATTTTGAGTCAGAGTCTTACTCTTGTTGCCCAGGCTGCAGTACAATGGCACAATTTTGGTTCACTGCAACCTCCACCTCCCAGGTTAAAGTGATTCTCCTGCCTCAGCCTCCTGAGTATCTGGGATTACAGGCGCCCAAAACCACACCCAGCTAATTTTTGTGTTTTTATTTATTTTTTGAGATGGAGTTTTGCTCTTGTCACCCAGGCTGGAGTGCACTGGCATGATCTTGGTTCACCACAGGTTCAAGTGATTCTCCTGCCTCAGCCTCCTGAGTAGGTGGGACTACAGGCATGTGCCACCATACTCGGCTAATTTTGTATTTTTGTAGAGACAGGGTTTCTCCATGTTGGTCAGGCTGGTCCCAAACTCCCAACCTCAGGTGATTTGCCCACCTCAGCCTCCCAAAGTGTTGGGATTACAGGCATGAGCCACTGTGCCCAGCCAATTTTTTTATTTTTAGTAGAGACAGAATTTCACCATGTTGACCAGGCTAGTCTTGAATTCCTGACCTCAGGTGATAGATACACCTGCCTTGGCCTCCCAAAGTGCTGGGATTACAGGAGTGAGCCACCATGCCCAGCCAGAACACAATATTCTTAACAAATGAAAGGGAAAGTAGTGGTATATCATCATTAGACTCTATTTTCAGTAACTTTTCTATTACAGGTGTGCCCTGCTTTAAGAACACCCAATAACTGAGTTTGTCTTAGTGCATTATAGAAAAATCCTGGCATTATGAATCAGGTTTGGCACACAAGCAACCTTTTAGCTTACTCCCTGCCAGTCCCCCACTCCCAGAAAGTAGCCAAGGGGTCTAAATCTGTATTTTGCTCCAGATCCAATGTTTTACTTTTGAGAAGGAAGATTCAGTGATTGAACTCACACAAGGCAATGGGCTGGAGTCTGCTAAAAGTCATGCTGTGATTTCCATTGCATTTGAGACAACCAAACACAACTTTTAGAGGAAACTTCAAGTTTTATTTTTTTCTTTTTTTAAAAATTTTTATTTTATTTTTCTTTTTTGGGGGGAGGGAGGGAGGGCTCAAGTTTTCTCTTATTCACGTCTCAGCCAGGAGTGGGATCTTGCGTCTAGAATTTCTTAGACCTGTGCTATCCAATATGATAGTCACTAGCTACATGTAGAGTATATTCACAATCCTGACCAATTTCCATTAGACCTCCATTCTTTCCACCTCTCTTACCATCAAGAGTGGGGTTAGGGTTCTTGTTTTTGGTTACTGAGTATGTTATTTTTCTATGTAAAGCTAACAGTCATATATGGTGATCAAATCTGTAACTACAACCTCAGTAGTACTATTTTCTCTGTTATTGATTAGATTTCATCTACACGACTGGCTGCAAATAAGTTCAGAGAGACAGCATATTATTTAAGACACCTAACATTTCATTAAGAAAATACTCATGTATAAGAATACAATCAAGAGCATCAATTTGGTTTAAAAGGCAATGTTACCTTAGCACTCATTAGCAAAACAAACAATTCAATGCATTCTGCCATGTTTATTATGATACTTTGATATACTAAGTAAAGATGATAAACACAATCGAAAAATTTAGGCCGGGCGTGGTGGCTCATGCCTATAATCCCAGCACATTGGGAGGCCGAGGTGGGCGGATCATGAGGTCAAGAGATCGAGACCATACTGGCCAACATGGTAAAACCCCATCTCCAATAAAAATACAAAAATTAGCTGGGCGTGGTGGAACGCGCCTGTGGTCCCAGCTACTCAGGAGGCTGAGGAGAAACAATCGCTTGAACCCAGGAGGCGGAGGTTGCAGTGAGATGGCGCCATTGCACTCCAGCCTGGTGACAGAGCAAGACTCCGTCTCAAAAAAAAGAAAAATTTAAAATATACTGGTGTTGGGGGCAAGGTGACATAAGCTGTACACTCTGAGAGATACTGTTTATTAGTGTACTCACATTGAACATAATTTGATTGTGGTAATTGCATCTGAGACCACATATTAGGGTGCTTGATAAAGGGGTTTTGTTACTCTTCAAAGCTAGTAACACTTCATCTTAACCAAAACCCTCAATGAGAAAAATCAGATAAATAAAGCAAAGTTTTACATAGTACTCTGAGGATCAGTAACTTCAAGCCCAAGGCCATCTTAAGGAAATTTTCTTTCTGGTTTGCTAAGGCTATAGGAGACCATTACCATCATAAGGCCAGTTACTCTAAAATGTCATGCTCTAATACCCTATAGGGCCTCACAGCATGTGGTGGCCAGATTATAGAACAAGTCAGCTCTAAGTATTTCACACATTTATCAGTACAGGAGCTATTGCATCTACCACTGGATTAAGTTTCTGGGTAGCCATGGAAATTTGGCAAAAGGTATGGTAACGCAAAGTAGACAGGTTAGGCCTTCCACACTGAAAAAAGATATGGTACAGCAATGAACATGGGAAAAAATTCCTGAACTTGAACAAGGAAACAAAATCCAGAACCAATTGGGCATGGTGGCTCATGCCTGTAATCCCAGCACTTTGGGAGGCTGAGGTGGGTGGACCCCCTGAGGTCAGGAGTTTGAGAACAGCCTGGCCAACATGGCGAAACACCATCTCTACTAAAAATACAAACAATTAGCCAGGCATGGTGGTGGGTGCCTGTAATCCCAGCTACTTCGGAGGCTGAGGCAAGAGAACTGCTTAAACCAGGGAGGCAGAAGTTGTAGTGAGCCAAGATCACACCATTGCACTCCAGCCTGGGTAACAGAGCAAGACTCTCTCAAAAAACAAACAAAAAAACCAAAATCCAGAATGGATTCAACTCAGGTAAGTGAAACTGCCAGATGGCCAAAACAAGTTCTTCAAAGATTTCCACAGAACTCATTGACCTAGCAGTAGTACATTTTTATTCAAATTGCAGCTGGGAGCTTGATTAACTGAGAACAAAATTAAATGACATGACATTCTTCATAGGCACCAAATGTCAGTATGTACACGCTGAAGTACCGACAGTTACAGTGAAATTGCGTATGCTCTGAGAAATGACACTAAATTAGCTTCCAGGAAAATTACTCAACTTCAACAAGTAATTTTCAGTTTTTTTTTTCTCAGGGATATTTTTCAACTTTCACTTTAATATTTCTTTAGCTGCTTGGTTGTACATTTTGAGAAGGCAAATCCATTGGCACCGGGGGAAGCTTAGAACGTAAATCAGTATTAGAAGTAAAGGTAACACACAGCTAAAAGTTTTATTTTAATGACAAATTCACAACTAGAGACATCATTTGCATACCTTAGAATGCTATAGACCTGTTAAAATTTTTTAACCAATCAGCAAAAATATGTGCCACAATTTCTAAAGTTCATAATTTAGAATTTATCACATATATTTATTAATATATCCTTTATTTGCAAATTATTCTTAAAACTTTTCTTTCCAACACATTTACAATATTCATGTGTTTTAAAGAAAAAAAAACACCCCCATTAAAAATGTACTAACTTTAATGTGTGATCATACCAGTGCCACCAAATTAGAAAAGAAACATACAGCTGTATTAGATATGTAGTTACTACTACAAATAATGACAACACATGTCCTATACAGTGATAATATTCATGCTTTTCTACTATTTCTCAGTCATTTTCAGAACCGTTTGGAGGTAAGAAAACGAATGCATCATTGAAAATATGCCCAAATGCCCTAAGACGGTATACCCCATACATCATCACATGCATCTGGTTTGGAGTCAGTCCATTAAAAGTCACAGCCATATCTGAACAACAGCCTTCTACTACCTGGTTGGGGTGATAAGTCATTGCCTCTTTAATAGAAAGCCCAACAGATTTGGTATTAAATACATCTTTTCCATCAGCATCTTCTGCATTTTCTGCATACACTCCAGCATATTTCAGGCAAACAGCTAGCTGCTTATCTTCAGATATCTTCCAAATCATCCCTCCCTGTTCAGGACACTTTTCAGGGATATTGAGAAGGCTGTTAAGTCTTTTCATTGATTCTATACTTAAGACAATTCCTCCTTCCATTCCCACATATTCAAGGTCTCCAGATTTTACAGTGTGGCCTAGATAGAAAGGCTGTGAAGGATCCTTTTTTAACAAAAAATACTTTAGGTTTTCAATGATAGCAAATGTAGTGGGGCGAGCAAGGAAAAACCAGTTGTATTGGTCTCTATACTTATCAAAGGCATATTTGTAAGCTTTTCTCATCATTAACCACATGTCATTTGTGTCCATATTAATTGACTCAAACACTTTAACATGTTCAGAACTGAAGAACTCTGCTTTGTCACAGTGTTTGGTCCAAGTCTCCTTTACTGCAGCCCAAAGACTCACATCTTTAGGTTTTACAAGGATAATACAGTATACTCGGAAGCTCTTACTGAGCTCCATGCGCTCATCCTCTGAAATTTTCAAGATATCTTCTTTGTTAGGAGCTTGTAGGTGATGATGCTCATGGTGGTGCATTCTATTTCCATGACCAATCCTAACGTGTCCTAGCATAGTGATCAAAGCACAGAAAATGCTTCCAAGCATCACACCCTTCAAAAAGGAGCTGCTTTCCGAAAGCATTTTTCCTATAAAGAAGAAAAAGACTCTTAAAATACTTAACAGAAAAGGATTAGTCTATAAATTTGATTTGGCATTCCTTATATACTTACATTTTGCTCTTGATGTTTTTTTTTTTTCTTAAAAGAAAAGGTTCCCAAGCTTGAAATCAAGTTAGTTGCATATAATATCAAAGTCTCTCAGGATCTTTAGCTTCCAATGATATCTGATTACTGTTTGGTATAAACTGGAACTTTGCAACAACTCCTCTGTGGAGAATTTGTTTTGTACTTCATCTAAGGGGGTTTAATTAATCCTTGAAACCAGTGTTACAGAGGTTATCCATCCACCATTCTCTTTAAATAATTTCACATCACAAGCTTGCATTATTTAAATACCTCTAAAAATATAATGGACTTTGGCCGGGTGTGGTGGCTCATACCTATAATCCCAGCACTTTGGGAGACCAAAATGGGCAAATCACAAGGTCAGGAGTTTGAGACCAGCCTGACCAACATGGTGAAACCCCATCTCTACTAAAAATACAAAAACTAGCTGGGCATGGTGGCACACGCCTATAATCCCAGCTACTCAGGAGGCTGAGGCAGGAGAATCACTTGAACTTCGGAGGCAGAGGTTGCACTGAGCCAAGATCACGCCATTGCACTCCAGCCTGGGTGACAAGAGCAAAACTCCACCTCATATATATATATATTTGAGCTACTTAGATTTTGACATTGTCTCTTAAAGTTGAAAGGAGCCTTAGAAAACTACCCAATGTCAGTCACTTTTCTCATTTTACAGAGAGGGAAATGGAAGTCCACAGAGGTTAAATAACTGACTCAGTCACACTGCTAGACAGTGGTAGAAGTGGACTAGAAACCACATTTCTCGATATCAGTTTAATGTTTTTTTCATTGCAGAATAACAATTGCCATAGTGCTTCTACCATATTAGAGTTTAATAAAGGGGTTACTGAATATCCTTGTTCTCATACAAATGGAAAGAAAAGTGGGATCTGTTGACCACTGATGTTTTGCACCCAGCAGCACCATATTGCTACAAGGAAACCAATTTCTATGGTTTTCCTCTAGAGAAAATGGGATTTTGACTTCTACAAGAAGGACAATGTGTGGAATAGCTCGGCAGAACTAATTTCTGAGCGGTGGGTGGGGCAAAAGGCAAAAAGGCTTTCCTGTGTCACTCACAGATGTCAATAAACACAGTTCCAAGAAGTAAGAGAAATGTCAGAAAAAAAGCTCTGCATAATAGAATTGGCCGGGTGCGGTGGCTCACGCCTATAATACCAACACTTTGGGAGGCCGAGGTGGGCAGATCACCTGAGGTCTGGAATTCCAGACCATCCCGGCCAACATGGCAAAACCCCGTCTCTACTAAAAGTACAATAATTAGCTGGGCGTGGTGGCAGGCGCCTGTAATCCCAGCTACTCAGGAGGCTAAGGCAGGAGAATTGCTTGTATCCGGGAGGCAGAGGTTACAGTGCGCCAAGATTGTGCCACTGGACTCCAGCCTGGGCGACAAGAGCGACATACTGTCTCAAAAAAAAAAAAAAAAAAAAAAAAAGGGAAAGAAAAAATAAGAATTATCAGGTGTGCTCTAAAATTAATTTATACAGGATTTTTGTATTTCATGTCACGCAGTTTTCATTATTTCTGGCCAATATATGATTCACATACGTCTCTTTGCTCAATTATGGCGTATGTGCCAGAATTCTTCCTGATGGTGATCCTACTCCCGGCTGCAAAAATAGTGATGAAAACTCAGTAAGTCTACACATTTTAAATAAAAATATACTTGCACAAATTATTCTAAGGAGATATTTTTCCCATCAGTGAGGCAAAAAATGTAACACGAGGGATGCATATGATAGGATATTTTGTGCTTTGTGCAGAGGGAAACTTAAAACTGCACGCGAGCACAAATGAAGCAGAAACTACCCCGGTGGTTTTTAGATTAACCTTTTTGGGTGAAGGTAGTTGGGGTGAAGGGCGGAAAAGGGAGGAAGACGAAATTGAGAAGAGAAGTGAGAGGGATGGTCACCTCAAGATCCCTTTGAGGGATCAAGAGAGCGCCCCCAGGAAGAAGGGTCTCCGTCTCCAGTGCGGACAATCCTCCCGCTGCACCTGCCCGAGCATCCCGCGTGGAGCATGCTGGGAGCAGGCTGGGGCCCAGGCTTCCCCCAAGAGATGGGGGGAGTCAGGGTGCGCTTGGGGTGGGGGTCGAGGCCCCGCCACTCACCCGCGTCTAGAACGGCTTGGGGCAGGAAAGCGCAGCCGCGCACGGGTTTCCTCGCACGTTTGCGCGCCACTCGGGTTCGCTCCTGGCCGGGCTGCTCTAGATGCAGGCGGTGTCCTCTCGTTGGTATCGCTAAAGGTGGGGAGGGCGAGGAAGCGCGCGCCGCGAAGGCGGGGGTAGTGGGGTGGAGGAAAAGAGCCCGCGGCTGGGCGGAGCCGTCCGTTTGCCCGCCCGCGCAGGCGTCAGAAGGGCTAGCGCGCACGCTGCGCGCACAGCGTGTGCCCTTTCTCCCCGCCTCCCGCCGAGTTCACAGACGTGCGTTCGCCTGGCGTGACCCGCACGCTCGCCTGTACCCAACCAGAGAGGACGGCGTGCATACGACTCACTGACACCTCCCACTTCATCTTACTGGCTTAGAAATTGTGAGAGTGAGAGATTCTTGCCTCCCTTGTCGCTTGTTATCGGATCTCTTGATGGTTTCTCTGATGTACCCCTGTGTCCTTGAACCCTCATATTCACAAGACGGTGTCCCCCCAGTACTCCTGGGCTGGGACAAAAATGCAAGCCCCTGAAATAGTCATGGAATTATGGCATCATGCATTCCCTATGATTATTGGAATGAGATCTGAAGTCCCCTGCTTGGAATCCAATCCTGTCTTCACCACATCCTTTGATATGCTGGGAAAATTACTTCACCTCGCTGTGCCTCAGTTCCCTCATTTGTAAACTACAGAAAATGTTACAGTAGTGCCTATTTCATAGAAAATTAGTGGCAGAGGTGGGACTGGAATTCAAGTCTCCTTTTTTCCTCCTCCTCTTTTTTGAGACAGCGTTTCGCTCTTGTTGCCCAGGCTGGAGTGCAATGGTCCAATCCCGGCTCACTGCAACCTCCTCCTCCCGGGTTCAAGCGATTCTCCTGCCTCAGCCTTCTGAGTAGATGAAACCACACCAGGCTAATTTTTGTATTTTTGCTTGAGACGGGTTTTCACCATGTTGGCCAGGCTCGTCTTGATTTCCTGACCTCAGGTGATCCACCCACCTCGACTTCCCCAAGTGCTGGGATTACAGGCGTGAGCCACTGCTCCCGGTCCCCAGGTCTCCTAATTAAGAGTGCAGAGCTGTCTTTCCACTAAATATGTAATCAGACTTCTTCTTCTTTTTTTTTTTTTGAGACGGAGTTTCACTTTTTTTGCCCAGGCTGGAGTGCATTGGTGCGATCTCGGCTCACTGCAGCCTCTGCCTCCCAGGTTCAAGTGATTCTCCCGCCTGAGCCTCCTGAGTGGCTGGGATTCAGGCATATGCCGCCACATTTGGTTAATTTTTTGTTTTTAGTACAGACCGGATTTCGCCATGTTGGCCAGGCTGGTCTCAAACTTTTCATCTCAGGTGGTCCGCCTGCCTCTGCCTCCCACAGTGCTGGGATTTCAGGCGTGAGCCACTGTGCCCGACAGATCTGTCTTTTAAAATTCATTTTTGGCCAGTCGGCTTGGCTCATGCCTGTAATCCCAGCACTGTGGGGTGGGGATGGAGGGCGGATCACTTGAGGTCAGGAGTTTGAGACCAACCTGATGAACATGGTGAAAACTCGTCTCTACTAAAAATACAAAAATTAGCTGGGTGTGGTGGCACGTGCCTGTAATCCCAGACACTCAGGAGGCTGAGGTAGAAGAATTGCTTGAGCCCAGGAGGTAGAGGTTGCAGTTAGCCAAGATCGTGCCACTGCACTCTAGCCTGGGAGAGAGAGCAAGACTTTATCTCAAAAAAGAAATCATTTTTGTGGCAGAAGGCCTTTTGCTATAAAGCACAATTTTTTATAATTATTTAAAACGTATCGTTACTAGGTTCCTTTCAGATAGTTCTGAGTGGTGACTTACTTTGGCCTGAGTTCCTAAAGACACACATATATTTGATTGTTGGCAGTGACCTAGTTTAAGTAGACTGAAGGTTTCAGGCAGCTCTGAAACAATGAACAAATATACTGTAGGCAGTTGCTATCCTGGCAACACTACCTTAAAATCTGGAGATACGTAGTTAGCAAAATAAGTACCCTGACTTCATGTAGCTGTCAGTGAAATGGGAAGAAAGACATTAATTTATTACCAATAATTTTAATGGTGGTATGTTTTCTAAACAATACCAACATGAAATTTCTTTCTTTCTTTCTTTCTTTCTTTCTTTCTTTCTTTCTTTCTTTCTTTCTTTCTTTCTTTTCTTTTCTTTTCTTTTCTTTTCTTTTTTTTTAAGACGGGGTTTCACCATGGTGGTCAGGCTGGTCTTGAACTCCCGAACTCAGGTGATCCACCCGCCTTGGCCTCCAAAGTGCTTGGATTACAGGCGTGAGCCACCACGCCCGGCCTGAAATTTATTTCTGACAGTGGGCCTTCTAGAAAAGAAAAAATGAATTTTAGAACTGGAAAAGAATTTAAGACTGCAGAATATTTCCATTATATTTTGTTAAGTAATGCAGTCTGTTTATTTCATGTATTATATAAACTATGTGTGTATGTGTATATATATATATACATAAAAAGTGAAACAAATTGCAAAATACTGTATATGATATGATTAGGTTTTGGTGGAAACAAACATGTGCACATAGGTTTGATCTGTTCATATGAACAAAGAGAGTTGTGGAAGAATACTTAGCAAGCTCTTAATATTGATTACATCAGAAGGTTGCGGTGGGGATGATTAGCCTTGTCTTTACACATCTTTGTATTGCATTGTTTCACTGGTACAATTGTTTCACTGGTATAAAAAAGCACCTATTACTTTTGAATTTGAAGACCAGCAAATAAAGGGATCTCTAAAATTATAGGGACAAAAAGAAAAAGAGGAAAATATGCCAATAAAAATATCTTTTTTTTTTTTGAGACAGAGTCTCGCTCTGTCACCAAGCTGGAGTGCAGTGGCACGATCTTGGCTCACTGCAACCTCCACCTCATGGGTTCAAGCGATTCTCCTGCCTCAGCCTCCTGAGTAGCTGGGACTACAGGCACACACCACCATGCCCAGCTGAATTTTGTATTTTTAGTAGAGACAGGGATTCATCATGTTGGCCAGGATAGTCTCCATCTTTTGACCTCGTGATACTCCTGCCTCGGCCTCCCAAAGTGCTGGGATTATAGGCATGAGCCACCATGCCTGGCCAAAAATATGTTTTAAAGAGTGTAAAGAACCAGTCTGTCCTTGCAAAAAGGGACCAGGCAGGACAGAAATGACACCCAAAATTCAGACTGTGACAAAGAGGCAATGTAAAATGTTTCTCCTAGAAAAAAAGTATACCTATTTAAGATGATGGGCATGTTCATTAGCTTGATTTTGGTAATCTTTACACAATGTATACATATAGCAAATTGTCACATTGTGCACTTTAATCGTATACATTTGTTTTTCAAACATACCTCAATAAAGCTGGGAAAAAAATATAATGATTCTTCTTTTAGTATAGGAAGGTACTGTATACCAAACTGGAAATATTAATGATACAAGAGCAGTGCTTCTTATAGTGGTAGGTAATTATATATATATATATATAATGTTCTGCACATGCACCCCAGAACCTAAAGTGCAATAATATATATATTTATATATAAAATATAAATATATATATTATATATATATATTTGTATATTATATATAAATATATATATGTATATTTGATTGCACTTTAGGTTCTGGGGTACATGTGCAGAACATGCAGGATTGTTGCATAGGTACATACGTGTCAATGTGGTTTGCTGCCTCCATTCCCCCATCACTTATCTCTGGCATTTGTCCCCATATTATCCCTCCTCAACCTCCCTACCCCCCACTATCCCTCCCCATTCACCCCCAACAGACCCCAGTATGTGATGCTCCCCTCCTTGTGTCCAGGTGTTCTCATTGTTCAACACCTGCCTATGAGTGAGAACATGTGGTGTTTGATTTTCTCTTCTTGTGTCAGTTTGCTGAGAATGATGTTCTCCAGATTCATCCATGTCCCTACAAAGGACATGAATTCATCGTTTTTTATGGCTGCATAGTATTCCATGGTGTATATGTGCCACATTTTCCTTGTCCAGCCTACCATCGATGGGGATTTGGGTTGCTTCCAGGTCTTTGATATCATAAACAGTGTCACAATGAACATACGTGTGCATGTGTCTTTATGATAGAACAATTTATAGTCCTTTGGGTATATACCCAGTAATGGGATTCCTGGGTCAAATGGAATTTCTATTTCTAGGTCCTTGAGGAATCGCCACACTGTCTTCCACAATGGTTGAACTAATTTACACTCCCACCAACAGTGTAAAAGTGTTCCTATTTCTCCACATCCTCTCCAGCATCTGTTGTCTCCAGATTTTTTAATGATCGTCATTCTAACTGGCATGAAGTGGTATCTCAATGTGGTTTTGATTTACATTTCTCTAGTGACCAGTGATGATGAGCATTTTTTCATATGTTTGTTGGCCCCATATATGTCTTCTTTTGAAAAGTGTCTGTTCATACCCTTCACCTACTTTTGAATGGATTTTTTTTTCTTGTAAATCTGTTTTAGTTCTTTGTAGATTCTAGATATTAGCCCTTTGTCACATGGGTAAATTGTGAAAATTTTTTTCCATTCTGTTGGTTGCCGGTTCACTCTAATGATATTTCTTTTGCTGTACAGAAGCTCTGGAGTTTAATTAGATCCCATTTGTCTGTTTTCGCTTTTGTCGCCAATGCTTTTGGTGTTTTAGTCATGAAGTCCTTGCCTATGTCTATGTCCTGAATGGTTTTGCCTAGGTTTTCTTCTAGGGTTTTTATGGTGTTAGGTCTTATGTTTAACCATCTGGAGTTAATTTCAGTGTAAGGTGTCAGGAAGAGGTCCAGTTTCTGCTTTCTGTACATGGCTAGCCAGTTTTCCCAACACCATTTATTAAACAGGGAATCCTTTCCCCATTGCTTATTTTTGTCAGGTTTGTCAAAGATCAGATGGTTGCAGATGTGTGGCGTTGCCTCTGAGGCCTCTGTTCTGTTCCATTGTTCTATATCTCTGTTTTGGTACCAGTACCATGCTGTTTTGATAACTGTAAACTTGTAGTATAGTTTGAAGTCAGGTAGCATGATGCCTCCAGCTTTTTTCTTTCTGCTTAGGATTGTCTTGGCTATGCAGGCTCTCTTTTGCTTCCATATGAAGTTTAAGGTGGGTTTTTCCAGTTCTGTGAAGAGTTTCATAGGTAGCTTGATGGGGATACCATTGAATCAATAAAT